GCCTTACTAGTAGTAACAAGAAGCTAGTAGAAACAAGTGCCTTACTACTAGGAACAAAGGGCATCGCTACTAGGAGGACTTGCATCTGTCTCTCCCGGGAGGCGGCTGGACAGGACTGCATGAATGTGGCAAACACCACTCAGCGACTGACAAGCCACCATACCATTTCACCATGGGTCCAACCTAAGGGGCATCCCCTTAAGCAGCTAAGCCAGTCACTCTCCAGGTGCCATTCCCTCAGCACCAAACAATACACATCTGTGGATGGCCGGATGGCCCCGAGTCTTCTTGGATGAGGTACCCATCTGACTACCCAACAGGTGGTGCCTATGGTGATGCCATCCAATCCAGATCCAAGCCTTCCGGGCAGAAACAACCCAAAAAAATCCATGCACCGTTGGGACGTCATCCCGCTGCCTAAAGGGCAAGGGCAGTGGCTTCATCGGAGCTGGTTGAGCACGCCATGGTTCTTGACCTCATGGGAGTGGAGGTTCAGCACAACCGAAACAGGTGTCAGACATCTGGGTATGGCTCAAAAGATGCAGGGAAGGAAGCACAGTTTTATTACAGTACTACCTCTTTTTTTAAATCATGTTCATGATCTCCAGTGGGCTTCTATGGCAGACGACTGTTAAACCATCTATATAGCCCTTTAGTTGGACTGCGGCAAGTTTCGTCCAAGCGCTTCACAGGTTCATCAGTCTCATTGCAGTCTTGAAGAGGGTAGGGAGGAAAACCATCAAGGGCCCAAGGGAAAAAGACACATCACAGCTGAGAACCTCCTCCAAGTCTTGAAATTGAAACATATTGAAACCATTCTCAGGAAAGAAAGGCGTCCATGGGGTCCTAACTGGAGTTCCTTGGGGTCCCATATACTCCAAATCAATCCCGGAGGCTTCCAGTTTGAGATTTGACTCCACCGGTCCCTAGCGGTAAGTGCCATCTCATCATGGCATCATGCTTCGCCAAGCTGCGCCCTGCCATGGCATCATGGCTAAAGCGGCAGTCATGGCCGTAGGTGCACTTTCCTTCCAGGAAATGCCGGCAAACTGGCCTGCGCAAGTGCGGAGCGTAAAAAGGTTGTGGCAATCACAGCTTGCTGTGTTGGAGAAACCCAGCGCATCCGCTGGGCGGTGGTTTCAAGAACAAAATTACCGAGTCAGTCGGTTCGATCATCCCAAGTTGCCAAGTAGGACATAAACATCTCTGAAACGACCAGAAAGCCAACAGCTCCGAGACAAATCCTGTGCGAACATCCGACTACTCCAGAGATGGAGGGCAAACACATTGCCTGAATAATAAAGAAAGCATTGGGATACAACTAAAACGGCCTCCCACTTTGCATCATCTTGGCAACTTAGTGACACCAACCCTTTTTGAGGATCTCTCAAACTGGTGGCCATCATGGTCTTGAACATTCTCTACCACGGGTGTCATGTCACCTTGCATCTTACCAGGTGGAACGGTTGCAAGATGCCACGGTGGGACGTCCCACCGCCGCCCCGAGCCACGCTTGTTCCCACGGAGCAAGCGTTGGACCGTCAGGTCCAGTTGGCCTCTCGTCCACTGGGAAGCCCCATGAGGAATGGGCACCTCGAGGTGTTCGAGAAAACGGGTTTGCCACGTGAGAAACCGCAGGACAGCCGGACTCACAGACAAACTGCATGTGGGTAGGACCGTCCACGAAAAATGGCATCTCTTAGTTGGGGAATTCAACTCAGCAAAATGATACGGCTCTCCTGAATACTAGCGCTCTGTTTAGATTGATGGAGAACGTTGTTCCTTTTTTGAGAGGTTCTAGGGGGGTACTGTTCCGAGGGTATGAGTTTCATCAATCATTTGTCTTTAACTGGATTAGCTGTCCGATGACTTTATACAATCAAGCTCACACAAAACACGACCAAAAAGAACAACAACAAACATCCTGACACATACATGAGATATCATGAGATGCTATATATTTATATGTATAATAAATAAATAAATAAATATATATATATATATTATTATATAATTTCTCAGACTGGCTAGGTGCAAAGGAACTGCTTCAGATGGCAGCGGCTATGGCCCCACAAAGGGATGTAAGGGTGTGGCGAAGAACGTCTCATCACCCAGGTCGGCAGGTCGGCTGACGGTCTTGAGGGGTCGACCCAATAGCCATCCACAGGCATATCAAAATATTGAAATGTTTTTGGTTCATCTTGCTCCTATAGTAGTAAGGCCAGGAGCCCCGTTCGTAGCGTCCTTGCTCCTAACAATGGGTGACATCACCACTTGACCATCTGTTCTGCAGATCTTTTGTTAAGACTGTTAAGCCAAACATCCGAAACATCCTCGCCAGAGAAATGTCCCATCTTGCCTGGAAGGGCATGACTGAAGCGGCAAGCATCACCGAAGGTGCACTTTCCTTCGAGGAAATGCCGGCACACAGACCTGCGCAGCTTTGTCAGGTTATCTGGGACAGGACATGACGGGTGTGTTTTCCTTGCAAATTCTGCAGACTGAGCACGGAGACAAATCTCGTGAAGATTCCAGAGTTCGAGAAAAAACTAGAAATGCATTCATTCAAGCAACGAATCTTGATGAGAAACACTTGAACCCTGTGGGTGTTTTCTTCAAATATACATGCATTCTTTCAGAAAAAAAGATCCTACCTGAGATAGATGAAATCTTCCACCAAATGTGGGCGTGCTGCTAGCATCTGCTAGCAAAATCAACTGTTAGAACCTTTGGCATCCTTTCTCGAGTCTACCGCCTTACAGCTGTTCCCAGGTCAAAAGGAATCCTTGGGTAACAAAAACATATCCCATGCAATCGGTCTTGTCAATTTCCATCCTCCTAGCCTAGCTAGCCTAGACCCTGAACGTATTCTTTAAAAAGCATGGACATCGGAGGAAGAAACGACCCGAAGCGATTCCACTGCTTCCATCGTTGCGGACCATGCGCCTGTCATCAGCCACCGCCGTTTTTTCGGCCCCTGAGAAGCACGGACGGACGCTTGACTGCTGCAAGTCGAAGCAAGCCACACAAAACATCGGCACATCACATCTGCATTTCAATTCAGTCAATAAACACGGAACACGAGCACATCCAAATGTTGCATCTGCAATCTGCATCACATCCAAATGTTGTGTTTCACCACCAATGCCATGTCTGCTTTCGATTGCTTCCCACCTTGGCTATTGAAGATGGGTCCTCTTGGGGCATCATGGCTGAAGCGGCAAAGATCACCAAAGGTGCACTTTCCTTCCAGGAAATGCCGGCACACAGGCCTGGGCAGCTTTGTCAGGTTATCTGGGACAGGACATGACGGGTGTGTTTTGCTTGCAAATTCTGCAGACTGAGCACGGAGACAAATCCTGTGAAGATTCCAGAGTTCGAGAACAAACTGGAAATGAATTCATTCAAGCAACAAATCTTGATGAGAAACACTTGAACCCTGTGGGTGTTTTCTTCAAATATACATGCATTCTTTCAGAAAAAAGATCCTACCTGAGATAGATGAAATCTTCCACCAAATGTGGGCGTGCTGCTAGCATCTGCTAGCAAAATCAACTGTTAGAACCTTTGGCATCCTTTCTCGAGTCTACCGCCTTACAGCTGTTCCCAGGTCAAAAGGAATCCTTGGGTAACAAAAACATATCCCATGCAATCGGTCTTGTCAATTTCCATCCTCCTAGCCTAGCTAGCCTAGACCCTGAACGTATTCTTTAAAAAGCATGGACATCGGAGGAAGAAACGACCCGAAGCGATTCCACTGCTTCCATCGTTGCGGACCATGCGCCTGTCATCAGCCACCGCCGTTTTTTCGGCCCCTGAGAAGCACGGACGGACGCTTGACCGCTGCAAGTCGAAGCAAGCCACACAAAACATCGGCACATCACAGCTGCATTTCAATTCAGTCAATAAACACGGAACACGAGCACATCCAAATGTTGCATCTGCAATCTGCATCACATCCAAATGTTGTGTTTCACCACCAATGCCATGTCTGCTTTCGATTGCTTCCCACCTTGGCTATTGAAGATGGGTCCTCTTGGGGCATCATGGCTGAAGCGGCAAAGATCACCAAAGGTGCACTTTCCTTCCAGGAAATGCCGGCACACAGGCCTGCGCAGCTTTGTCAGGTTATCTGGGAAAGGACATGATGGGTGTGTTTTCCTCTGAAAGATGCGTCACTTGCTGTTCACCTAGTCCGCATCGCGACAAATCGAGGACAACTGTTCCGGCAGGGTTTTGGTGGCAAGTTGAACCATTCCACATGGTAGTGTTGGATACAATTTACTGCAATATTGAGACTAAGATGAAGTAGATTCATGCCAAGTCTACGTAGACTCACGTAGACAACTTTCCACTCCGTTTAGACCTCCTCTCCTGACAAAGCTCAGAAAACTATACAGGCCAGGCCTCTCATCGGCGTTCACTGCAGGGCTCGGGCCTCTGGCAATGAAAAGGACCACCGCTGGAGCCGATTTTCTTCACTGACCATCCCTTTTGCTTGGCGGGCTTCATCAACTCAAAGATCTTCAATGATCTTCACCATTTGGTTTCTGACTTTCCGAACCTGAAGACCATTCCTTGAAGGAAGACCATTCCTTGAATAGTACCTGCCCCACCCTTCCTCTCAGGCTTTTGGGGCCTGCGAAACTCGCGGTCATGGGGATGCCCTCATGGCTGAAGCTGCAAGCAGCACCATAGGTGCACTTTCCTTCCAGGAAATGCCGGCAAACTGGCCTGCCAGTGGTGAGCATGTCACGGGGGTAGTCCGCGACAATGAAGCATGTCTCGTGGATGGTGGTCGAACATGGACATTTGTAATCGCACAGGAACGATCTTCGACAAATGTCAACCATATTCTGGACAACCTCGGCCACGTGACAAATCGAGGACAACTGTTCCGGCAGGATTGTTTGACTGGCCATGTAGAACATGCTTTGGATTGTTTTGGTGGCAAGTTGAACCATTCCCCATGGTAGTGTTGGATACAATTTACTGCAATATTGAGACTAAGATGA